AACTAACTACTACTAACTAACTAACTAACTAACTAACTAACTAACTAACTAACTAACTAACTAACTAACTAACTAACTAACTAACTAACTACTAACTAACTAACTAACTAACTAACTAACTAACTAACTAACTAACTAACTAACTAACTAACTAACTAACTAACTAACTAACTAACTAACTAACTAACTAACTAACTAACTAAACTAACTACTAACTAACTACTAACTAACTAACTACTAACTAACTACTAACTAACTAACTACTAAACTAACTAACTAACTAACTAACTAACTAACTAACTACTAACTACTAACTAACTAACTACTAACTACTAACTAACTAACTAACTAACTAACTAACTAACTACTAACTAACTAACTAACTAACTAACTAACTAACTAACTAACTAACTAACTAACTAACTAACTAACTAACTAACTAACTAACTAACTAACTACTAACTAACTAACTAACTAACTAACTAACTAACTAACTAACTACTAACTAACTAACTAACTAACTACTAACTAACTAACTAACTAACTAACTAACTAACTACTAACTAACTAACTAACTAACTAACTAACTAACTAACTAACTAACTAACTAACTAACTACTAACTAACTAACTAACTAACTAACTAACTAACTAACTAACTAACTAACTAACTAACTAACTAACTAACTAACTAACTACTAACTAACTAACTAACTACCTAACTAACTAACTACTAACTAACTAACTAACTAACTAACTAACTAACTAACTAACTAACTAACTAACTAACTAACTAACTAACTAACTAACTAACTAACTAACTAACTAACTAACTAACTAACTACTAACTAACTAACTAACTAACTAACTAACTAACTAACTAACTAACTAACTAACTAACTAACTAACTACTAACTAACTAACTAACTAACTAACTAACTAACTAACTAACTACTACTAACTGACTAACTAACTAACTAACTAACTACATATTATGGATCGCAGACAGTCAGGTTGACAAATTTTTAACTGTTTTTATATTTTCATTTCAAAACTATTTGCTAAATTTTCCCTGAATTCTTATCATAAATTTAACAATGACAATCTTAATGGATTTGTAAAAATAAAAAACTGCATAAAGAAAATAAAATTTAATGGCCCTAATATAAGTAGTACTTTTTTTGCCACATCTACTAGGAAAAAAATAATAAACATCATCAATTGCAGCCGTGGTACCAGTATACGAAGTATGAACTTGTTTATGGCATTTTTTTCCATATTTGAGAAAGTCATTCAATGCATATACTGTACATGTTTTAAAAACACATGAATTTATTTTTGTACGAAATTCATTGAAAACCCAACAGTTTTGAAAGGCTTTAAATATTAAAGAGAGTTATTTTTTTGCAATTTATAACTTTCACTTAAATGATGTATTTATGAATGAAATTCTACTTTTTTAAAAGTAGTTTAAAGCTCTCTGTAGTGCTTCTAAATAATCTATATTTAGTATGTGGAGAGCTAACTAACTTTCTCTTTGAACACGATTTAGGTTAGGCACACCGAACTGCAGGGAAGTGGAAATGAGAGTGCGTGTGAATGAAACTTTTCTAGCTTAGTATTGTTGCAACTGTAGCTGTTACTATTTTAAGGGTTTGAACTTTATCATAAAAAATAGCAAACCAACAACCAAATACTAAAAGTAGTGAAAGTGTAACACTTACACTACTTATATACACATTTACACTCATAAGCAATTTGTTTACAAAATAATCCAATAGTTTAACAGGATGTCAATGTATCCTTTGTAAGGCTGTGTTCGTCCAAATGTCTAACTTATCGGTTGACTCGAGTTATATTTTGTTTCATTTGTAAAGATTGAAGATAATCGTTACTTTACTGTATCCAAGTAATTTAGTGGGAAGTTCCCTAATACTTTAGAAACTTAAGGTATTAACTTTTTTTTTATTCTGTAAGTAGTGTTTAATCTACCAGAATCAATTGTTGATTTTTATTGAAAGTGAAGTGGATACTTTGTTACTAGTTCACTGTAGCCATTCCGAATAACAGGGATAAAACAGAAGGAAGTTTTGTGGAAGTTCATTAGAATCTGTACATGTAACCAAACTAAATATAGTTTTAATTTCCAAATAGAAATGCATGACAACAGTTACAGTAAATTTTGTAAATTTAAGACAAAAACATGAATTCTTTTCTAACTAAATTGCAAATAAATTTTGTAATTTTGTGGCTTAATAACCAACTCTTTATAATTTTTTTTGCATTCACTTAAACAAAAACCTTTTTTAAGAGACAACTTTAAATATCCACTTACTTTTTACACTGACTGTCCTCTAATATAGGGGAGGTCTCATGGTGTAATTTAAAATAAATTTGCATTTTTATTTTCTCAGTTGCATTTATCTAGTTCTTTTTGCTTTGTTCCTCTATTTAAACACTTTTTCTAAACGAGAAAATTTTACAATTTGGCTAATGAACTTAATTATATATTAACGTGCGTTTTTCACTGCTTAGCTAGAGGGTTTAAAAGTAAAAAAAAAAACTTTAGTTTTAATTTGAATTTAATTGAGGGTTTTATGCGAAATGGCAAATTGAATTAATTGTAGAGATTTTGTTAAAAAATACGATAAGATAATGTAAAACATATAAAAAATGGCTTTTTATGGAAATTAACGTCAAGTGGGCGTATAAGTGATATTGAACTTATTATGAAGTATTACACATACGCTTCGTTTAGCATAAGCAGAGAACAGACATGACAAAAAAGTATTTTTTTAGAATTAAAACTAAATTAATCTTCGTTTTTTAACTAACTAATCATATGACTAGTCTGCTAATTAGTCCATTGACTACTTTCTTGCTTAGTCTATAGACTATTTTACAAAGTTTTAAGTTTTTTATCTACAGACTTCTGAAACCCTCTGAATGTTCTATTGACTAGTCTATTAACTAGCCTGCTGATTAGTGTATTGACTAGTCTATCGAGAGTTTTTCTAACGACAATAGGGCGTATAAGTGATATGAAACTTAAGTATAATAAAATATTACACATACGCTTCGTTTAGAGATGAACAATTTTCTAAAAATATTATTATTGTAGAATTAAAAAGGGTTTACTTTCGGTTTTTATCTATAGACAACTAATCTTCTGACTAGTCTGCTAATTAGTCCATTGACTACTCTCTTGCTTAGTCTATTGACTATTTCAGTTTTTTATCTACAAACTTCTGAAGCCCTCTGACTGTTCTATTGGCTAGTCTATTAACTGGTCTGCTGATTAGTTTATTGACTAGTCTATCGAGACTTTTACTAACGACAATTGGGCGTATAAGTGATACGGAACTTGAGTATAACTTTAACTTTAGGTTTTTATCTATAGAAAACTGATTAGTCTATTGACTAACTTACTGACTAGTCTAGCTTATGACTGAGTAGTCTAGCTCATTTGCTGACTAGTCTATTAACTAGTCCGCTGACTAGTCTATAGAGTAGACTCCTGACTAATTCACTGACTGGTCTATTGATAATTTTACTGATTAGTCTATTGGCAATATTATTGACTAGTCTACTGACAATTATGTTGACATTTTTATTTACTTGTCTACTGATTATTCTATTGACTAGTCATCTGACAACTCTATTGATTAGTCTACTGACTAGTTTATTCCTCTGAATAATACATTGCTTTCTTACTAGTTCCTTGATTAGTTCATTCTATTGACTTGTATATTAAGCACCACTGACAAGCCTAATGATTAGTCTATTTCCTATTGACCAGTGTATTGACTACTCTTCTGTACTTAAAATTTGCTTAAATTTAATCCATGGTTTATTTTAAACTTTTGCCATTAAACAAGAAATCCATTACAAATGGTCACGTTTTTTTCTTTTAAGAAATTCCTTTTTATTTTTTTAAGAAATGTTTGAGACAAGAAAAAAAATGTTCAACAGAATGGTCTTTATTGCATTGAATGTTGGTCGAGTAATAAACACACATATGTATATGAAGAGTTTTTGAACTTGTGTGTTCTTTTGACACATGTTATGTTAAGAAAGAGACATGTTTAATAATACCAAGGCATTTCATCATATGTAAATAGAGCCTTAAGTCAATTATGGAGAAATATTCATAGAATTTAGTACCATGGAAATTCTCATATATTGCTTAATTCAACACCATATGATAACAAGCTATTTATGTTTACATACAAAGGGAATCAGCTTAAATATCACTTTATATTTTATATCCTCTCTCTTAAAGATATTATATTTGTTAGCAAAATATCAATGACATTTAAATTAATACATCAACATATTTTTATATATTTAAGTTATATTCTCTGAAATTATCAAATGTTTATCGTCATATAACATCACACATGACATTACGTTCAATTAAGTTTTTTTTATTTCATTGCTTTACTTTTTTCACATTTTTCTGTTTTTCCTGTTATTCGTAACAACAAGAATACCATAAAACGTTTATGTTTTATTGATTGAATTTTACTAATCCTTCTTGTTTGTCAACCACGTAATCCACCTCAGGAATCACTGACATATGTTAGTTCATTGGAAACGGAAATGAAAACATGATGTTGCATGTATTATTGCTCTATCCATGAAAAAAAAGAAACACAGAGGATGTTGAATATTGATGATGGTATTTATCCTACGTTTTGTTAAAGGCAGGTGAAAATAACTGACAAATACGAAACGGAACATAGTGTGAGATTACAGAAAACATAAAAGATTAATGGCGGTGATGATGATGTTGCTCCTTCTCTATTTTTTAAATACTACACATAGAGTTTAGTAAAATAAGTACTTAATAGCTTTTACTAGAAAGTGCAAGTGCTTAAGTTGTTTCCAAGTATCCTTCAAATTCTTATATGATGTTATTTATAGTAAATTTTGTAACGTTTTTTTATTTTACTTTAAACTTGTTTCATCCTTACTCTTCTTTTTCTTTTTGGATTGCAGGGCACACAAAAGATTGCATTACCTTATCAAGCCAATCAAAAACTTACAGTTAAACAAATCCTAACACACTTCACTGGCATCGATGCTTCAACGATGAAGAATCCTAAAGAAATTTTTGCAGCTGACATACAAAAGGATCTATTGCTATTGGAGGAGCAGGAGGGTTCAGTTAATTTTAAATTTGGCGTTGTTTACATGAAACCAGGCCAATGTTGTGATGATGAAATGCTAAGTAATCGTAAGTATTTTGTATGAGAATTCTTGTCAAATGTATAATCTAATATGTTGAAGGATGTGTATTAGTAGGGCACCAAGTGAAAGTTTTCAATACTATATTGATGATAAAGGTTATAGAATTTTAGTCGCCAATAAATTTATAAGGTCATGAAAAGAATCTTTGAATATATAAAGGGTATTACATTTTTGTAAAATTTTGTGAAATAAAACATAATTTTTTTCCACTTTAAAGTTCACTTTCATTTCAATAGTCCTTTACAAATAGGACTATGTTATTATTACAAATTTAATAATAATACAAATAAAATTTATTATTGATTTGATATGTTCAAGTAGAATAATCTCTGTCAAAGCATATCATGATGAGTTAAAGAATATAGGCATAAATTCAATTTGACTGGATTTCAACAAAATGTTTATTGTGTTTAAATCTTTAACAAATAAAATGCACTAAAATATGACATTAAGATTTTGTTGGCAAACATTTGTGTTGCTTTTTTAAAACTAAATACCTCCGCTAATGAATCTTTGAAGTATCCATTAAGCCTGAACAGAAAAAAATACAAAGAAACTTAAATATCTTTCTTATATTTGTTATTTTTTTCAACAAATGGTTTCATTTTTATTCTGTATACCACTACAGCAAATAGGGTGTTATATGTTGGTGAGAATATTTGTATGACCTATTTTTATTGTACCGACTCAGAATTTCCTACAATTAAACAATGTCCGTCCATCTGCTTTGTCATATTATTACAAGAATTGTATTTAGGGCGTATAAGTGATATGGAACTTAAGTATAAAAAAATATTACACATACGCATCGTTTAGGCATGAACAATTTTCTAAAAATAGTATTATTTTAGAATTAAAAAGGACTAACCTCCGGCTTTTATCTATAGACTACTGCCAAGTCTATTGACTCCACCAACTAGTCTATTGACTAATTTACTGAGTAGTTCTTTGGCTTATCTACTATCCATTTCCTAATATACATAGTAATCTAGCTCACCTGTTGATTAGTCTATTAACTAGTGTACTGACTAGACTAATAACAAGTCTATAGAATAGATTTCTGACTAAATCATTGACTAGTCTTTTGATAATTTATTGATTAGTCTATTGGCAATATTATTGACTAGTCTACTGACTATTATGTTGACATTTTTACTAGTTTACTGATTATTCTCTTGACTAGAATTTCCTACGATATAACTTTGTCCATCCATCTGCTGGTCCATTTTTACTTTGTCATAATATTACAAGTACTGGATTTATACAATAGTCATAAAATCGGTACCGACCACCGATCACTAGTTTTTTTGAAGACGATGGAAACCAAATCACAGTTGTTCATGTTGTTAAAGTTAAAAATAATTGATTTTCTTGCTATTAAAGGTCCTATCAACTCAATTGCCTCAAGACAATACAAAACTGACTATGAGTTTGACATGACTTTGACTCGGAAATTTTTCCATCATATTATTCATTGAAAAGGCTATCAATTGGCCCTTATTTTGACCTATATAAACTACTTTTGAAGCAGGATCTTCACTTACACCAACAGTTGAATTACGACTACGGGTACTAGCTCGGAAATGTTTCCCATATGTTTGGTCTCTATCAGAATATTTATAAAAAACACATTTACTATTTAGCCCTATTACTAATGGGTACTACATGATGTTAGGGTGTCCCGTGGACTACATTTTTCTATATGAAGAAGAATGTCAGAATTGACGTAAAATCCTTTAGATCATGATTCAAAATTAACTGTTGTAGGGTTTTCATATGGTCGACTATTATGTATTTTTATATTTATTCTTTCTGAACATATCATCCTCTTCATATTGTCTGTTCTGCGTTAATGACTTTCTTTTGTTGTTTCGACAAAAGAAAACAATTTTTGAATGCAGTCTAATGCTGCCCATTTACTCAAAAAAAAAAAAAAGAACCAAAAATTTTCATCATAACCAACATTTTGTTCTTATTGTTTACAGAGGAAGCGAGCCAAGACTTTGAAGATTTCTTAGATGTTTTGGGTGAACGTGTGCGTCTTAAAGGTTGGGATCGTTTTCGTGGTGGTTTAGATGTTAAAGGTAAGTTATGAAAGCAACAAATGAATGGAAAATGAAAATAAAAGCCTGACAACGAAATGACAAGGAAATGAAAATTACTTTTATTTTTGTTGTATTGCTACCCCAAACTATGCGCTTTATTTGTTTTTTCCTTTTTTTAATTTTTCAATGGTTTTTTCCATAGCATTTAGTTAAGTGTATAGTTTTTTTTTTTTTTTTTTTTGTATTATTGCCAGAGCCAGAAAAATTGTGATACAAATACTAACATTTAGTTGCATAATTGAAGAAACGTGTACGTATACGTATACGCAATATATTTAATTAATTTGCTATTGGTATGAAAAAAGCAACACAAAAACAGACCTTTTTCAAATCAAATGAAATTAAATTGTTCTCTGCGGAATTAATTTATTAAATACTTAGTTTAGCCAAACATTTTTAATAAAAAGAGTGTATTATACGTTTAATTCTTAGCATCACTGTTGTGTCCTTTTTTTGTGCAGAAAATGTCCTTTTTAATAATGTTTGTCTATTGTGGCCTGGCAAAATATGTTATTCATTTTTATATCTCTATATCAAGTGTGTAGTATCTTTTGTCTTTAGTTGAACTTTGTGTTTTAATGATATTTAATGCTGATGCCGGTTATTTTCTTGTCCTCCTTTTTTTTCTTTTATTTTTTTAAATATTATTATTCAGGTGATATGACTGGCAAATATTCTGTGTATACTTTATATGAGGGTCATGAAATTATGTTTCATGTTTCAACACTTTTGCCCTTTTCTAAGGATAATCGACAACAGGTGAGTTATTATAAGTTTTACAAGTTTACATTACTTGCACTTTAGTTACTGTTTTTTATGATTGTTTAATTTTTGTTGAAAGTAAAGAAGATGTTTAGAAAAAAAAGAGTGTTAGAGAAAGATTGTCCAGTAAATGTTAATTTAATTACTTCTTTAAGGATTTAAGTTGGTAACAGAATGTAAATGTTAATTTAATATAAACCATAAAGGAATTTTTAATTTGGGTTAATTTTTTAATGCTTTAAGTGTAAATAAAATTAGGCTGTGAAACTTTTTGTGTAAGATTAATCTGTTATGGGATTGTGGTGATGTTTGCTACAATTAAAGATCATGATCTGACATCCACTGTAACTTATTTGTTATATCTGTTAATGATTTTCTTATAAACTATAATATCAGCGAGAAAAATAAGACCTACATACATAGATTCGAGCTCATATCATTGTACAAAAAAGATTCCAGAAAGCCTATCGAATTTACTACGGATATAAATTTTTCCATTAGATATTGATATGTCCGTCAGTCTGTCATCCCCTCCGGCTATATGAAGCTATGTGAAGTGACAAACCAATTTTAACCATTTTTCAATAGGTTTCGTTCTTTCTGCAATATCATGTACCAGCTATTTATTATCAAAATTATCTTCAAAACAAACAGACAGATATAATAACAGACATATGGACAGACAAACAGACAGATAGACAGACAGGCAGACAGACAGACAGACAGACAGACAGACAGACATATAGATTGACGGACATCGCTAAAGCGAATCAGAAAATTATTCTGAGGTGGAAGTAGAACCAACATTACAATACATTACATTAATCAGCGCACTTATAATACCCTCCCCTTACAGTGGTGTAGAGTATAAATGGCAGTATAGCGACATAGAATTCGACATAGACATGTTGTACGTAGTGTTTATCCATAATTCCCTCAACACACAAAGACTGATGCACATATGATAGCAAAATTAATAATGAAATGATTCAACAATTCAGACATAAAGTCCTTTAGACACATTCGAAATTCTATTTAAATAATATCTCCAAAATCCCATTTCTCTTGTTTTTCTCCTCCAGGTGGAACGTAAACGTCACATTGGAAATGACATTGTAAATATTGTTTTCATTGACCAAAGTATGTCCGCCAATGTCGGTACAGTATTACCAACAATGTTTGATCCCACATGGATAAAAAGCCAATTTACACGTAAGCCACAAATAATATAAATTAAATTAAATATTTTAATTAAATATTTATTTAAATATATTCATTTATATTTGTAGATATTTTTGCTGTAGTAACAAAAACAGAACAAACCTATCGTTTGGCTATATTTTGTGATGAAAATGTGCCACCATTTGGTCCAACATTACCAAACCCACCAGAATTTACAGTAAGTAGAGAAAAAAAGTGTATAAGAACAATTAAAATACATGTACAGTGACGCCTAGATTAAGGCGTCATAAGTTTTAAAATAAAGGCTGCTGAAACAACCATAATAAATTATAAAGAAAAAAAAAATATTTTTGAATATTAAATAATTTTAACAAAATAAAAAAAATTAGAACATATGCGTTAAACTGACTTAAATTTGCATTAAGTGATGTAAATATTTTTGTAGAAGTATATCAAGAAAAAGATGCGTGCATTGAAAATTTTACATAAAACACATGCTTATAAACAACAAAAAAGTTAGATTTGACCAACTTGTTTATGCACAAACACATACATATTTAAAATATTGATTTTAATGTCTCTTCTAGGACAGAAGAAAAAACTAATATTTAACATCAATTAAACCCGCGAAATTATTTATTGTGCTACATTAAAAAAGTATACAATTACACACTGAAACTGATGTCCATATAAATACCATGTAATTATTGTTAATAAATTAACGACCAGAAAGAGTTTATCGCCATTTGCTACTGTACATATTTACAATTTTATTGTCATTAAAAATATCAATAAAAAGAGTTGTTGTTCAATAACAGCTTTTACAATTTGAACTCATTAAAATCTACATTTCCCTCGAATCCTGCGTCTGGCCAACCACAGGGGGTAATTAATCAATAACAAACTACAATAACAATCGTTGTTGCTCTTGTTTGCTATTTTTATTGTTGTCGGGTTATTGCCGATAATCACAAACATCAGGGATTCGTCGATGTCAAACTAACATATATTGCATTGTGTCAATATGCTTGCATGTACACATATATAAATTTGAATGTAGCTACAGCAGCAGTTGATAACTAAGCAGCAGTTGATAACTAATTAGAAATTTTGAGTTGTTTTAAAACGTATGAGTAATATTTCTTTGGGAAATTTGTGTCGAATGATTTATTTATACGTCTGTCTGTCTGTCTGTCTGTCTGTCTGTCTGTCTGTCTGTCTGTCTGTCTGTCTGTCTGTCTGTCTGTCTGTCTGTCTGCCTGTCTGTCTGTCTGTCTGTCTGTCTGTCTGCCTGTCTGCCTGTCTGCCTGTCTGTCTGTCTGTCTGTCTGTCTGTCTGTCTGTCTGTCTGCCCGTCTGTCTGTCTGTCTGTCTGTCAGTCTGTCTTTATGTATGTTGAAATCAATTTTCTAAATACGTCTTTGGGATTTAAATCATTAATAATTAAATCATAAAAGCTTTTGGGAAGTTTTCTATTGAAAATCATCAAAATCATCAAAACACCTTCTCTCTAGACATGTGAAATTTTATTAAAACTGGTTCAATAAAACATTAAAAGTAAATATTTTCGGTAACTAATTTAGTCGAAACACCGTGTTGGTTTAAAAAACCAACTTTGAAGTTAAAATTCTTTGAAATTCTAATTAGTTTGTAATAGCTGTACAATTCAATTCATATTTGCATACCCACTAACCTATGTATACATTTAACAAACATGTTTGCATTGTTTACAATGTTCCATAAACCCAAACCAAAATAAAAATAAAATACAATTAAACAATTATATAAAGATAACTACGCCACAACAGAATACGGTCGATATTTTAACTGTAACTGGAAAAAAATAAATTAAACATTATCGGCCCTCAAATGGAATGTCCTGAAACAAGTTGTTAAAACTTATTTACTGGCGCAAATAGGAAGCATTACACCCTTTATAACTTCTTACAAAATTGAATAAATAAACTCAAAGGTTTTTTTTTCTTCATAGAACATGTTAATCTACTTTAATTTACAAAAGGCTGTCTATGGAAAATATTTTCAAAAATCTCTTCATTTTACGCCAAAGCAAAAATAAACTTTTCAAAAGTATTAGTTTTCAAAAACTTAAGATGAACACAAACACAATAAGCCAAGGCGTTAGTTTAAAAACTTTTTAACAATATGTTAAAAGTCTTTATTATAAAGTTTCCATTCCATTGATTTGGTATGTAAAATACTGGCACAACAAAAACTTGTAAACTAGGTAGGCTCAACAAATTATTTACTATGTTAAACAATAAGTTATATTGTAAATAATTTAAAAGCAAATATATTTTTTTGTATATATATAAATAACAATTACAAAAAATCATAACAAATACTTCCACATCCATTTAAAAATTTATAAAGAGGGATTTTCTTTTGTAAATAATGGAAAAATCGCGTGAGATTTAAAATAATTCTTTAAAATGGGATGAAAGCTGCACCTATGAATGGTAAGAGATATACATACTGAAAAAATACTAGATGAAATTTAATATTGTTTAAAAAGAAGAAAGATTTTATTTTTCAGAACTGAATACATCTGGGTATACAGTCTTTATGATGTCACAGATGTGGAAACAAATATAAATAAATATTTTCAAGATTTTAAAATAACTTTCAGTTTTCGTACCCTACGGCACTACAAGTATTATGTTAACAATTATTGAATAGAACGGCAAACTTCTACTATATAGTCAAGACTATAGTATATAATATAGTCATGACTGTAGACTATACTATACTCACGACTGTAATCTATACTATAGTCAGGACTATAGCCTATACTATAATTAAGACTATAGACTATAGTCGAGACTATAGTCTATACTATAGTCAAAACTATAGTCTATAATGTAGTCAAGACTACAGTCTATACTACAGTCAAGACTACAGTCTATACTACAGTCCAGACTATAGTCTATACTACAGTCAAGACTGTAGTCAAGACTATAGACTATAGTCTATAGTATAATCCAGACTATAGTCTACACTATAGTCTATAGTCTATATATTATAATCTATACTATAGTCCATGTTATAGTCCAGACTATAGTCTATACTATAGCCAATACTATAGTCTTTACTAAAGCCAATACTATAGTCAAGACTATATTCTATACTATAGTCAAGACCATAGTCTTTACTATATTCAATGGTCTATAATATAATCAAGAGTATAATCTATACTATAGTCAAGACTATTGTCTATACAATTTATAATTTATGCTATAGTCAAGACCATAGTCTATACTATAGTCAAGACTATAGTAAATACTATAGTCAAGACTATAGTCTATACTATAGTCAAGACTATAGACATGACTATAGTTTATACTATAGTAAAAACTACAGCTATAGTCTATGCTATGGTCAACACTATAGTCTATACTATGGTCGAGAACATACAATATACATTAGTCAAGACTATAGTCTATACTATAGTCAACATATGGGAGACAATTGTCTGTTAGTGATGTAATGCCTATAGCCCTAATAAAATATACAATTATACCAACTTCTGGTGTAGTTCATTATACAGTCGACCTGACCCATCAACACTTCCTTACTAGTTACTTAAGTTATACCAGAAAAACAATTACAAAGTAAACTTTTTGCCACCCACCCACATACAAACGTCAAAACTTTGAAAGCAACAATATAGTAACATGTTAAGACTTTATCTGGTTACGAAAAAATGTCATTAAATTGTTTTCAATGTAAATTAAGTGTCTCCATATAAACGAAGAAGTTTATTTTCACATATTTTCTTTTGTTAAATTTATACCACTTAAAAATTTAAACTCTATTTTAATTTATTTTAAATCTTCCTCACTATTTTACTTTTATTTTTGCAGGATGTTAATTTGTTTCGTGAATTTTTGCTGGTAAAATTAATTAATGCTGAAAAGGCAACATTCCAAACACCAATATTCTCACAAAAACGTGAGCGTACCCTTGAAATGTTGATAAAAGATTTACATGAAGACTATATTGGTGATAGCAAATTGGTAAGTAAGAGTATGAGGAGGAGTGAAAGCGGAAGAAGATTGGTAACACTTGTATATAAACATGATTAGTGGGTTGGCAAGCAACCAAAAAAAATAAGCTAAATTGAAAGTAAAAACTCAGAAAACACACAAAAAGCACGAAAACAATTACACATATACCAACTATACTTATACTTAGCTGTATAGTATAGATATTACACGAATACTACATAACTAAACAGAAATAGATCTTGGTTACACAAAAATGAAATCTATTAAATTTTATTATGCTATAAACTGAGGATATGGTTAACAAATTTTATAAAGTATAACTACAAACTAGTTAGATCTTATAAACGATAAGACCAACTAGATTGATTTACATGCGTTTTGTTTCATATATCATTTATCACACTGTACATATGTACAGGTTACCAAGTGTTTTGGTATATTTGTGCGTGTTTTTGCAAATATGTATAAATATATTTTTTGGAGTACTCCAAGAATGTTTGGTGCACTCAATGTACATAAAAATGAAGGAGTATGTAACCATGTATGTAGATTATGTAAAATTTTATACAAAATAAACCTCAGAAATTAATTGAATTCCTTACGTATGTAGTTGACTATTGGTGTAAGTACGTCATGTATCTGTAAATAAGTTATGCCTTACATTTTTACGAGGGTTATGAAAAAAAGGAAACCGGAAATTTCATTAAACTGTTACCAAAAATAGAACTTTAAGTGAAATAAATTTGTTTGCATTACAATCTAAGGAAATAAGTAGATAAGGATGTAATATTGTTTAAATAAGAAGATAATTTTTTAAATTGAAAGGGAATGTTTAAAAGAATCCTAATTTTACTTTAAAATTATATTTGGGCTAAAAGAAACGTATAAAATTATGAAATTGTTTATAAATAATTTGATTTTTTAAAGCATTTTATTAGCTTTGTCTTTAAACAATTGGCGCAAAACGCCAGAAATATGAGATAAACCTTTAAGATAAAAAGGTTTAAATGGAATACGTTTCACTGCTCCAAAAAATATTCAATTCTTTTGGCCAAATGTTTCCAAAGAAACGACCAACATTTGTCAAGGTCTCGCAATTGATAAGATAATATCACCACCATACAAAATTATGTAACGTCAGTTATGATCATTTAGCTTTTACGATGGTCATAAGATAACAAGATCGTTATCCTGCAATACAGAATATGCGAAGTTGGATCGTTTCGTTGCCAATAATCTGATTATACAAATTTGTCCAGGTAAACGCCCAAAATTGGTCAAAAGAATAATAACTTCCATAAAGAATGAAATAAATTTTAAAAAAAGTTCCACCTTAAAAGCAGTCATGATCATTACGATGAAGTAGTTTGAGTTGATATATTAAAGCTTCCTAGTAGAAGCTAGCATTGAACGAAAAACAGAAAGCTTTCGAAGAAAAAAGGTTTACTACAACACGAAGTATCTGAAAGTGGATTGTTTCAGCTCTGGAAAATGCTATGAGATAAAATAAATTTGAATATAAGTTCCATCTACTTATGTCACGATCAGTGAAGATCATTTAGCTATTACGTTTGATTTGAACTATTAAGATTTATTACTTTGGGATTACCTGAAGAACAGGTTTTAAAAGATCCTATACTTCATGTACTTATGTCACGATCAGTCAAGATCCTTTAGCTACTATGTTTGATTTGATCTATTAAGATTTATTACTATGGGATTAGCTGAAGAAGGTTCTAAGGGTACGGAATGTGCTAAGCAAAGCCTGAATTTAAATCGATGGAAAAGCTTAAAAAATGTCACTAATGTTTAAATATATGTATGTTCAATGATATTATGAATATGATCGGTTTCGTTTCCTAAATGATTGAAATTTGTTTCAACTTTATAATTGCAAAGTCTCTCCAAAATAACAAAATTTAATTTTTTCATAAAATATTTAATGCACTTTTTCTTTTCCACTACATTTATTTAACTTCATATTTTTTTTATACAGTCAATAATTATAGATAAATTTCCGATTGAATGCACAAAATTTTTGCTACAAAATAACGACAACATGCAATAAATTTAATAAAACTGTTTTAATCAATGTAATACACACTTGATACAAGGTCAAAAATTAATGATGAAAAAATAAATGTTTGTAGACTGCTGTTTGTTTTATTTGTAAAAAAAAAAACAGAAGAAAAAACCCCCAATTGAAAATCTTTTACAAATATCTCATTAAAAGTTTAATTATAAGGACATTCACATGGCACTAAACTATTGTACCTCGCTGCCACTTATACACTAAACAAAAGTGTGCTTGTCTGACACGTATGAATGGAAAAACCTCACCTCGTATCTCTATCTTGAAAATATTCTTTATAGACATTAAAAACACACAAAAAAACCCACTTATACTCATGCATCGAATATAACATCGAAGAAAATCTTTTCTTTTTAATGAAACTTAAGTCAAATTCTAGCCAAACAACGTATGTCTTTAGTCTTCTTCTACATTGTTTCTTCTGTTTCATTGTTTATCCTTTGACATATAAACACACATGTATACACAAATCATATCCTTTAACACATTTACTATATAAAATACTGACACACATTGACATACCCTCACATAAACACTCTCCCTCTTAAACACTCGAAAAAAAAACTAACAACAAACACATTAACTTTAATACACAAACACATATACCAATACTAATGTAATTTTTTCTACGAAATCTACACATACACTTGTACTATATAAACAACATGTTCTTGTACTTGTAGAACATGCTAAATAGACGCGCTTTCTCTGAAGTACTGTATGACGTGCCAAGAACATCTAAACTTAAGGAGGACGCAAGACATATTGAATTCGTACGTATAGGCCAAGCACTTAAATTGGAGGCCATTGTACGAGGTGATGCCCCCACTAGTATTGCATCAGCCAGCCCTTGTACAATATTCAAAAAACCCCCTTGGGAACCACATTGTTTTTACCCAACCTTTCCGCATCGTGGCACATTGGTAGGTGATTCGTTCGGTACCAATGATGAGTGTTTATTTATAGCCACCGATGATGGTACATTTTTGATGAAAGGTAAGTAAATGTAAATGTGTAAAATGTGATAACACACAAACCAATCTAAACAATTGAACGATAGGAGTTTATACCAAAACCATTAACATTAATCGCCTGTAATGCAAAACAATGAAAGTAATTCATTTATTTTTTCCTTTATCCTTGCTTCAATTAAAAATTTGCCTGTCACCTCCTGCCAAACAGAGGATCAATCTTTACAATTGGTTTTCGACAAGACATTGCACGTGCGGCAGCTTAGTGTTTTGGAAGAACATGGTTTAGTTTTAATACGTGGCGGTTCAGCTACAAATCGTGATGCTCATCGAGTTCATGTATTTCGCCTGCGGGAATTCCATGGAAAATTTACAGAGGATTCATTGAAGTGTCGTTCACGTTCAGAAGTTAAAGATCGGCGCATTGAGAAGACACGTGGTTGTAATTTATATTCCTCATCTCATATTAGTGGTGGCCATTTGAGATTGGTTGTAGCCGTTGGCCGTAAGTTGCAGCTATTCCAATGGAAACATACAGCTGCTTGGGCTTCTTGGTGTCCGGAAAATGATACAGAGACGGTAGAAGGTTTTATCTTCCAAAAAGAGATTACTTTAAGTGATACACCTACGATTGTTACACCTCTGGAAGGACCCACGAATACAAAGAATGGTGGTTTAATATGTGTGGGTTATAGGTGAGTGGAAGTTGTTGGTATTTAAGAGACATTTAGTTTGAATATGTTTTTTTTTTTCGTATATTTTTTAGGTACCATTATGAAATTGTCTGTGATCAAACTGGAGTAGCCACCCGTTTACATGAAGTTGAACCGGCCAAAAGAAATCAAACCCAACTGACGGCAGCTATAGAACTATGTGATGGTCTAGAAACTGAACTATTGTTGTGTTATAATCGTGAGTAGATCAAAAGTGTTCTAACTGAATCTAATTTCATATATTTAACCAAAACCTTTTCAATTCCAGATACTTGCCATTTCCAAAAGCTCAATGACCGTGAGGAATCTCGCAATGAGTTTGATTTTCATTGGAATACATCTCCAACATTTGTGGTTTGTGCTTTTCCTTACATTTTGGGTTTCACCTCTGATTCCATGGAAATACGCCTACTAGTTAATGGCAATTTAGTACATACAGCTATTTTACCCGAACTACAAATGATCACCTCAAAACGTGATATTTTCTTTGTAACAACAGCACCAGAATTTATGTCCAAAGATCTTAATATTAAAGGTTTGCAAATAAATGAACAAACGCCCGAACGAAGGCTAGTAACTACACCCAGTGAATGTTCATCCAATGAAGAATTAGCACATGATACCAGCGATTTACTAACTACCAGAAGTGTCAAAGATATGCCATTGAATCCGGAACATGAAATGAATAATTTACTTGAGATACCCAATGCAATAGGCGCTCAAGTTCCATCAATACAAAGAGCAAGATCTCTGCAAAAGACAAGTAATTTAGAGGAGAAACCACAAATAGCCAAAAGTAATTCTTGTGGTGACTCTTATCATTCCGAAAATAAATTCAATGCTTTGCGTGGTAACTCCATAATAGATCCCCAATACGCAGGTGTACCTCCCAATTCTCCGCGCAATACTACCAGCTCTAACAACAATAATACAACAAAAGCTACAAATCAACAACAACATTCACCTATGTCACCTACAAAGCGTAACTCCAAATATCGCAGTCTTTTCTCTAATGGTAGCCAAGGTTCAGATAACTATTCATCATCACCTGATCGTCTGAAACCTTTAAGGGTATATCGCATTCCCTTAGCTAAACTGGCGGGAGCACATTCACATTTCCATATGCAATCGTTTAATGCAACGGCAGCAAAAACACAAAATTTTTTACGTGAGCAATATGCTTTGAATATGAAATCTCGACAAAAATCCTTTGATGTACAATTACCCAATGCGGGTGCCAATGAAATGCCAGAATGACAATTGGTTCAAGAATCAAATGAAAAGGTTCAAACTCACATACCGCCGACTTTGGAATTTATGGAAAAACGAAAGTCCATAGATCTATACGACTATGATGACAATAAATTCAATGAGGAGGATGAAAGACGTTTTGAAATGTTAATGTTACAACGTTGATGTGTATAAAAGGCGGTGATAATAGCTAGCTGGCTGGCAGTAATGAAAATAATGAAGCTAAATAATTCCAAATTTTATTTTCATACTTTGATAGTCATTGCTTAAAAGATAAAATATTTGTTAGACGGTTTCAATTTTAAACAACTAAAATTGTATTCACAACAAAAGTACTAAAATTGTAAAAAAAAAACTATTTATTTAAACCATGTAAAAATATGTGTGTGAAGAAAAATATCTTCAATTAATTGAATTGAATAATTGATATTAATCATTTTGTTAGTAATTAAAAGAAACCACCAAACTTTTACATAAGAATGTTTTAACCTTTAAAACATATATCAAGTAATTGATATGAAATGCTTAAAATTTTATAAAATTAAGCTTCCTGGAATAATTTAAGATATAACAACTTAGAAATTCTCAAAACCTTTTTTATTTCATTTTCTGTATAAATATTATTTAATGTGATATCAATATGTTATTATTTATGTGATTTCTTATTCCACTATATCTGTGTTTTCATATCGACTAATATTATACCTTTTAAGCTATTTTAAAAATTATTTATTACAAATCTACCAACAACTTTAATTAATAAAACAAAAAAAAAACTATTGACAAATACATAATATCTAAATTCCTAATCGATTGGCTCTATTTTTTTTTAATTAATTCATTTAATTCAAAAAGTTAGCGAAATTGCGTCAAAAAATCCATTAAAATATTTTAATATACATACATATGTATGTAGTCCGTTTTGGAGGTTTATAAAAAGTTTACAAAAACCAAAAACACATATTGCCTCTCTTAATGATACTACATATATTATAATCCTTAAAAGAGTTTCCAAACTAAAATTTCAAAAATAATGTGATGTTTTCTATCTAATTTTTATAAAAATCACCAGTAAACTAACACACTATAAAAAGTTTTGGCAACCCTTTAACTAACTAAGAAATACGATTTAAAGATGAAAATGAAAAGCTTTTAATGCAAATTAACATTTTAAACGATCATCCTTAACATAGACTATACTTTTTATTATAAGAAATATGTATGTATTTTTGTGCATTAGCTTAGAAATGTTGAAGAGAAGGTGGTTAAAAAGGAAATGCAAAAAAACTTTATAGTAGGCATTCTGTTGTTGTAAAGCTTTAGTCGGTGTATAAATACAAATAGGAACTTAAATGTAAGAAGTAATAGAAAATAGAGTTACCACTTTATTTGAAAATAATAAAATTTGGTATTGTTTTTGTTTAAGGTAGGAAATACAACTTCTTGAATTTCCATGTAATTTAAAAGTATGTACATAGTAAACGATTTTACTATTATTCTGACAAATAAAAAGAATATAATATAATTTATAAATATTGAAAGAATAAACTAAAAAAGGGTTAAACTAGGAAGAAAAATATTATATTTAGAGTTACATATGAGGGATATACTCAAATATTAAATAATATTTTCGAAATTTATTATTTTTAACAAAAAAATTACTAAAAATCAGGTAAAAATAAAAAGAACTGGTAAACAAGTGGATTAAAAAGTTCAAAATATTTTATTATTGAATTTGATTTTTGAGTTTCCAAAAAAAATAGACCAAGCTCCCCAAAATCAATACTCACTTTCAAATATTTTACCAGCACTCCTGATAATGGATAATGCAAAATTAATACCTCTTTATCTCAAAATTTTGACGTATTTTACTATTGGACAAAACCAGTTCCAAAAATATATGTTTCTTTACATGTACGAACAAAAGGTATTAATTTGCAAACTAGTAAAACAATGTCGATGCGAAATTCTTTATAAAAACATTTGTATTAAAATATTCCACACTGACAAATTTTAAAGTGTATAAAGGAAACAGTTCATAAAAAATTGTATTTCAACATTAACCATTATCTTATGGAAAAATTGCATATTCTTATAGAAAAATACAGTGGTAGTGCGAAGGATATTTATTACGAATTACCAATAGAACCATTAAAAGTAGAAATTTTCCGTTCTATAGTAACACTGCTATTATTACAAATATTTGTGTATGAATGAAGTCCTGATTACATTTAATTTTTGGCTATTCATGATATTTTTACCCAGTGGTTGTTATATATTCCTATTAATGGTCTAGAAAATGTTTTTTTTTTTTTTTTTTTGACAAATAAGTAAAAAAAATCCTTTAAACAAGTGTATAGTAAAATAAATGAGACGATTTGAGTGTTTCTTAACATTCATTAAACGTTCATGAGTTAGTTTTTTGTGTAAAGTATTAAAGAAAATATTTCATATTAAATTTATTGTAGAAAATATCGAAGGACTATATATAAATAGTAAAAAACCTCTACAATGTTGAAATTTTTCTTATGGAGCACATTTGATATTGAAATGTTTTTTATAAAAAAGTTTTATACTGAAATTTTTCTTATAGATTTTGAAACGTTTTCTTATGCAAAAAAATTTAGAAATTTTTTCCGAAAAATTTTTAAAATTTTTCTAATAGATATTTTTGCAATTATTCTTATGTTTCTTAATTTTGAAATTTTTTCATTTGGAAAATTTAAAAATTTTTTTCTGCAAAATTGTTTATATTTTTCTAATATATAGATCATTTTTGAAATTTTTCTTAAAGAAAATTTAAAAAAATTTTTTAAAGAAAATTTTAAAATTTTTTCTTATGGGAAATTTTTGAAATTTTTTTAATAGATAATTTTTGGAATTTTTATTATAGAAACATTTTGGAATTATCCTTGCACAAAATTTTTAATTTAATTTATTTTTTTAATTTTTTTTCAACTATTTTGTTTATTTTTAATAAATAATTATTTTAATTCATAAATTCAAGGAAGTTTTGAACAAATTAAATATCCCCAGAAAATATTTCGCAATATATTATGTGGCAACCCTAACAATTTATTAAAAAATTGCTACATATTAATTTGTAGCAATTTTTTCATGGTACACACTAACAAGTTGATTCCTAACAAAAATTAAATGTTATTTATTTATTTATCCATAGCGGCAGCAGTTTTAATTAAAAATATTAACTAATAGACATATAAAATCACTTACTTTGCCACAGCCCACCATTTTGTTGAAACAGACTTTGCCAAAATTGCATTTTAATTTTTTCGCTTTATTTAATATGAACTCCTATTTACACACTTTTTAAAGACACTACTTTATTACTTTAACACTAATAACTATATTGAACACAACAAACCCCGTTAATTTACAAAATATTTAATAAATTATTAATTTTTCACTTCCACTCGCGGTTTTACCTACTTGTTGCGGCCGGTTAGTTCAATTGTCAAAAGTAGACTAATAAAATGTCAAAAAGAAAAAGCCTAACTAAGCTGTCATTCAATTTTAATATGATCCTCCCTAAGGTATGCATTAAGTATTTGCAAAAAAATCATTGAATGGTATTACCAGCTATAAAATATTCATAAAAGAGAATGAAAGATGTTTTAAAATGTTAAAATTACAACATTGATGTATACAAATCTACCAAGAACTTTAACAAACTTAAAAAAAATTACAAATGCATAATCGATTGGCTCTGTTTTTCCATTAATAAATTATAATTGAATTCAAAAAGTAAGCGAAATTGCGTCAAATTCATTAAAATATTTTAATATACATAAACATGTAGTCTGCTTTGGAGGATTATTACAAGAATGAAAAAAAAAATTAGCAAAATGTGTCTAGAATTTAAAAACTTTATTTAGAAAGACAATTTAAAGATGAAAAGGAAAAGCTTTTACTACAAATTAGCATTTTAAACGATCATCCTTAACATAGACTATACTTTGTATTATACGAAATATGTATTTTTGTGCATTAGCATAGAAATGTTGAAGAGAAGGTGGTTAAAAAGGAAATGCAAAAAACTTTATAATAGGCAAACTGTTGTTGTTAAGTTTTAATCGGTATAAGTACAAAGAAGAATTTAATTGTAAGAAATAATAGAAAATAGTGTTACCACTTTATTTAAAAATAGTAATAAAATTTGATATTGGTTAAGGTAGGAAATATAACTTTTTGAATTTTTAGGGTTGAGAGGTGTTACAGGTATTATTCCTTTAAAGATATTATTTCTATGTAATTTAAATATGGTATGTGCTTTTTCTCTTATTCTGATAAATAAATGTATAAACGAAATTTATAAATATTGCAAGATACATATACATATGTATGTACACAGAAAAAACTGAAAAACGATTTCAATTACCAAAACCTCGTTTTCAATTATTTTATTTTTTGAAGTTCAACCTATAACAAAAATTGTATATTCAATTACTACTTATAATTGATTTCGTACACAAAATTTTTATTTGTTTCTATTTTTGTTGTTGTTAAATACGTATTTGATTATACATTTTTATGAATCAAATACAAAATGAATTGAACCCTTTTAAAATTTTTGATTAATCGTTTAATTGAAAATTTTTTAAAAATAATTTTTTCTGTGTACATATGTAAATGTAATTATAAAAAAAAAATTAGAACTATTACATTAGTTTACAACGATTTTGCTTTTGATATAAAACTTATATTTAGGATGTCAAACTTGTTCATTATTTTATAAGAAAAAAAAAATAGTGAACGAAAGGTAAAATTTAGAAGAAAAATAGTATTTAGAGTTTTTTGAAAAAATTCTATAAGTTTGTAATTCTTTAATAAATTTTCAATATTATCGAACAACGTAACAAAAAATTACTGAAAATCTGGTAAAAATAAAAAGAACTATTAACAATGTGAGTTAAAAAGGTCCGAAATTTTATATTATTGAATTTGATTTCTGAGTTTACAAAAAGGCCCAAGCGTCCCAAAATCATTTTCAAATATTTTAACAGCACAACTAAGGGATGATGCGAAATTAAAACCTATTTATCTCAAAATTTTGAAGTAATTTATATATGGGCAATTTCGTGTAAGGTGGCTCAACTTAAAAAATCGATTTGGATCGATACGGTCTATTTCGGTCAGGAATTTTCTGTTGTACTTCTTGTACACAGACCACATTTTTCAAAGCAATAGTTATTATATTTGTGTATGAATGAAGTTCTCATTACATTTCAATTTTTGGCTATAATACCCAGTGCCCAGTGGTTGTGAAATATTCAACCAGTAACAATATTTTTTAATATTTTTAAAAAAGATCTATAAATTTTTTTTTTTTTTTGGAAATAAGTAAAACAAATTCAATTAAACACTTGTATAGTAAAATAAAAGAGATGATTTGAGTGTTTTATAACATTAATTAAACGTTTAGAAGATAGTTT